TAACTGTTTCTCTTCATTGAGTGTAGGTTATTATTAATATTTCTTAATGTTCAAAACCGCTTTTTCTGCCTCTTTAGTTTCCTAATTCCTGAAAGAGATGTTAAAATTCCTAGTAACTGCTATGTCTTTCTTTCATCATTCCTGTCAGTTGATACTTGGTATAGGCTAGGTGGTATGATACTGTTTTCTTATATTCAAAAACAGACAGCACCCTCTATTAGACAGCACCTTCTATTAGTTTAAAAAGACCAGGAATGGGGCACCTGGGTGGCTTAGTTGGTTAAGCATCTGCCTTTGGCTCAGGTCATGATCCCAGGGTCCTGGGATGTAGCCCCATGTTGGGCTCCCTGCTCAGTTAGGAGCCTGTTTCTCCCTCTCTCCCCTGCTCAGGCTCAATTCTTGCTATCTCTCTTTCAAATAAATAAAATAAAATCTTTAAAGAATAAAAATTAAAATTAAAAAAATAAATTAAAAGGCCAGGAAACTGAAGGACAAGGAAATAATAAACACAAAATTTAAATTCAATCATCTCTATCAGAGAAGGCAGGAGGCTGGACTAGGGGTAGAACACACAGTCAGTGCTATGTTTGCTATCTATAACATTTTAATTCCCAACTTATTTGCTATGTTTTGTCATGTTCACATTTTAAAAGACAATGAAAAAGTAAATTGAAAAGAAGGAAGATAGAATATTTTCATATATTGGTTAGGTACATGAATAGTTGAAGTCAATTTGGAAGGTAACTGGTCTATATCTGTCAAAATTTAAAGTATACATACCTTGTTATCCAAGAAATATGCATGTGGGAATTCATCAGAAAATGTCTCTGTATGCATTTATCAATACATGAATACAAAGATGAGAGCACAATAATATTTATTGCAGCATTATTTGTAACAGCAAGACAATGGAAATAACCTAATTATCCATCAAAAAAAAAAAAAGAAAAGGTTAATGGAGTTATAATATATATTTCCTATGAGATGTTTTGCAATCGTTAAAAGTACATTTCATATATATATATACAAACACATATATGTATATACACATATGTATATACACATATACACATATATGTGTGTGTGTATATATATGAAATGTACTTTTAACGATTGCAAAGCATCTCATAGGAAATATATATGTATATATGTGTATATACGTATATATATACATATACGTATATACACATATATATGTGTGTGTATATATATAGTGCATAGAATTACGTAGAAAAGGAACTAAAAGATGAAAAACAGAACAAAAAAACTTTTATGGTGGGAGTAGGAAAGGAGGAAGGAAAATTTTAATTGGTCCTGTGTACTCTGTATAACAAAAACTTTGTTCTTATATTGTTCAGGTGATTCTTTTTTCTTCTTTTCTTTCTTTTCTTTTCTTTTTTTTTTTTTTTTTAAGATACAGAGAGAGAAAGGGAATGAAATAAGTGAGCAGAGGGGAGGAGCAGAGGGAGAGAATCCCAAGCAGGATCCATGCTCAGCTCAGAGCCCAATGCAGGGCTTGATCTCAAAACCTTGAGATCATGAAACCAAGAGCTGGAGCTTAACCAACGGAGCCATCCAGGCACCTCAGATAAGGTGATTTTTTTTTAAAGATTATTTATTTGAGAAAGAGAGAGAGAGCACATTAGCAGGGGGAGGGGCAAAGGGAGAGAGAATCCAGAAGCAGGCTCCCCACTGAGCATGAAGCCTGCTGTGGCGCTGAATCCCAGGATCCTGAGATCATGACCTGAGCTGAAATCAAGAGCCAGCCACTTAACCAACTGAGCCACACAGATGCCCCTAAGGTCAGGTGATTCTTAAAACATTCTTTTCCTTGCTGTTAGTATATTAATTATGGTTTGTAAAACACTTATTTTTCAAACTGATTTGTATCCAAAATTATTCAATTCCTCTTAATATCCTCTCCTCCTCAAAGTTATAATCTTTAAATTGAGAAAGACCTTAAAATCACACATGGTTTATCAAGATCCATGATTCTTCTGGAGGAATCCTGTAAGTCACCGGTGTATTCTCTCTGCCTTCGTCAGGATGAGGTGAGTTTGATGGGCTTATCCACCACTGGCTGTTTCAGCATCTTGCACTTCCTCACTGGTCTCCTGATAGCTACATTGCAACCAGAATCATACACAGAACAATTCAAAGAGCACCCCTTCTCTGCTTATAAACCAATGTATCTCACATGTATCTTTCAGCTATGTCTCCAAACTTCCTTTGCATACCTCAATAACCGTTGCCACCCTTTCCCATTATTATTTGCTACCCCAAATTATCTTTCTGTTACTCAGACATGTCCTTCTTTTTGGTCTTTGTACAAAGTTTTGTTCTTCTTTCTTCTATTTCCATCATGATATGATTAAAACCACCTAGATTTTTTGAAAAATTCTAGCTGAATAGGAACTCCAGCTCTGCCAATTATTGGCTCTGTAATCTCAAAAAATACTCAACATAATTGACCTTTAATTTCTTCATTTGTGAAATGAAAAAATAAAAATACTTAATCAGATGTCTGAGAAGATTAAATCAATTAATGGATATAAATCATTTGTTACTTGGCTATCCTAATGAGTATTCAATCAATATTTGTTTAATCAATTGAATTGTGAATTGTTTAATCAATTCACACCACAGCAAGCAATAATTCCAGGTGTTTACTCCATCAGCACCTACCTATTTGAGGTTATTCCAAGAAATTCAATCTATCAATCAATCATTTACTACATTATTCTGTTGCAGTGTTGAGCTTTCCAAGCCCATGACTTACATCAGCATTATACATATATTTTTTGTATCCCCTATTTCGTTTTTAAGAGAGTGATAATAAGAAAGTAATTAATGTCTAATTGTTTACATAATTTCCCCCTTGTACAATGCTCACTACAACTTATTTCCAAGCTTCAATTCTCTATAATTTTAGTTCTGGATAGCATTTCAGATAAACTGTTTTGTCCACTGTAATACATCCATGGTTGTCATAAAACAAGTTTTTAAATTGTACTGTTTTAAATGTCCACCTTATATAGAAGAAGGGAAACTAATTCTGATAAATTTTACTCTGGGGCATGTATCTTGGTGGTCAGCCATTAAAAACAAAACAAAACAAAACAAACAAAAAAACACCCACATACACCAATTCCCAAAGCATTGGCTAACCCACTTCATACTGTTAACACACACAGCCATTTATCCACTCTGCGAGTAATTGCTGGCTCTGGGAATTGAGTGATTGACAAGACAACCTTGATTACTAGGCTCTCCAGATTCACAGTCTGGCATTGAAGATACACATTGAACAATAATTACAACAAAGTGCAGTATATGTTAGAAGAACATGTGTCCCAGGTCAACGGGAACACAGAACAAGGGCATCCACCTAAAAGATAGCATTTGGGATTTAAACCCCAGTAGCCATTTCCCAAGAAACTTCTCCAGAAAACCTGTTTATGGCAGTTAAGCTGTTCCAAATCCTGAAAAAGAAAAGATAACTTTAAAAAAATCCCTTAATCACTTGAAACACCATCTCTACCATCGAGTTCTTCCCTGGAGCTCCTGGTAATTATAGTACATATTCTCCCTCAATTTTCTATGAAAAAAATCATTTTGTGGGCCATCACTGTATTATTGTTAGGCCAGGGTTTTGTTTTTTTTTTTTTCTTTTGTTTTTTTTTTTCTTTTAACAAATCATCCCGAACGAAAGCCTGCTTCATACAGCTCAAATACTGGATAAGGAAAATTTTGCCTGGTCCTGACTGTTGTCAGTGGAGAGCCAAATCCACACCAAAAGAACAGGCCAATAGGACCCGGTGATAGAAGGGATTAAAGCAGAGACTGATAGTCATTGTTTAAAGACGCCAGGGACTTGACTTACCTACAGAGTGGGAAATTGAAAGAATGAGTAGTCCCTAATGTCCAGAGTCTTGCAAATTCAGATATGAGTTTATAGATATGAAAGTGTGTGTGTGGGGGGAGGGGCTATGAATGTCCAAAGGGGCAAAGGATTAATGTTAATTTAGGGGTAATAGAGAAAGCTTTATGAAAAAGGCAGGATTTGAATTACATTTAGAAGTACAAAAAAATTTCAGTAATGTCAGTAAGGAGGGTACAGAACATGTTTAGATCTTCTTGGTCCATTATACCTGGAACAGAGTGCTAATGAGGGTTCTGACTGATGCAAACATAGGAAAAAAATCCAACTATAAAGCCATCCAGATAAGGGACAAGATTCTATGATTCTAATGTAGTGTTCCTTCAAAATAATCTGACTCCCATTCTATACTTTCCTTGTCAAAGAATACTCCTTTGGTCTGGAACTAAAAAATATTTATTTTGGAACTAAAAAATATTTATATGTTGAAATAACTGATTCTTAGTGGGACTGAGGTGTTAAATCTGTCCCCAAATTCATTCCATATGTGTCAACAGTTGTGTTCCTCATATATGTGTCTCTATGTGTTTTCATTCATCATTGAAGAAGACCTGAAATAATACTGTCCACAATCCCTTTAGCGGCTTGGATGGAGCAGAACCAAAGTGGCATATGACCAGAAGGCACAGATGTCACCTCATCTAAACCTATCCGTCCGTAACAGAGTTGGCATGGTGCTGGGTATAGTGCTGAACTCAAGAGGACATCACAGATTGTTACTCTTACTACTTTCCTGGAAGCAGATACCAAGCATAGCTACTAGTTATTACTGGTACTTTCCCAACAATGTCAACAGACCTGCCTGAAAAACTTTTTTTTTAAGTGAGCTCCAAGCCCAGCATGAAGCTCAACCTGGGGCTTGAACTCACAACCCTGAGATCAGACCTGAGCTGAAATTAAGAGTTGGATGCTTAACTGACTGAGCCACCCGGGCACCTCTGAAAAGCATTTTTTTGACTGCATACAGAGCCCTTCATTTGGGATCCAAGGCCACAACCTCAGTGACCTCTCCAATAAACTGCAGCCAAGTTCCAACAATCTGGACAATCACCCAAGATAAGGGTTGGGGTCAGGTGGGCTGGGGTCTGGGGCCAAGGCTATAGGAGGAGCTGTGCAGCCAATAAGAGGGAACAGCTGGGGCATGCACTTGGCCATAGCCCCCAGTGTCCCAACTCCCTGACCAAGGACAGGAGCAGAGTGGTGTGGGGGCCTCCTCAGACCTCTGGGATCCTCCCCAAAAGGCCAGCATTCTCCTGGCGAAGGGCTCGGTAGTCCTTCCAGATCTTCTCCAGGTTGCTGAGGGTCTTCTTCCCCATCTCTGTCTCTATCTGCTCTTCAAGATCTCCAGCTCCCACATGATTGTGCCTGTATCCTCAGCGGTCTGGATGAGCTGGCTGCAGTTCTCATGCAAGGCAGCTAGATACTTGTATGCCTTCTGAACGGCATCATCCTTCTTGGCATCCTTGAACACAAGCTCATCGGTCACTGTAAATGTCCGATCCAGCTTCCCAGACAGGGAGTTGATTTCCTTCTGAAGCTCCTTTGTGTCTGATAAGATCTTAGTGATCTCTTCCTTCTGCTTCCGGATGTTGCCCACAATCTCCAGGATGCTCTGGGTATAGGCAAGACAGGACACGTCTCTAGGCAGGGTCTCCAGTTCTGACACCAGCTGCTTACAGACTTCCTCCTTCCTTTGGGCCTCTCTGGCAGCTGCTCGAACACTCTGGTGCAGCTCCTGGATCTCTGCCAGCCGTCGAGAAGATTCCAACTCTCTGCAATCCTGGAGCTTTCGGAGGTGGCGGTACTCAGCCAGGAGAGGGACCCAGTGCTTTTCCCACTGACCCGCCAAGTGGAAGACCCGCTGGATAGTACTCTCCACCATGAGCTGCAGCTTGGCAAGGTTGGCAGCCCCGCCAGGCAGCAGCTCCACTGCCCGGCTCTTCAAATGCAGGCCCTGCTCACACTCCGCGGTGCTGAGTTCATTCTGGTGACTGCTTGGTTTCCACCTGCATGAAGCTGATTCCCAGGGTTTTCACGTTGGCTTGAACCTCTTCAATGCTGCGGTTCACTCCCTCTAGCTGCTCCCTGAGAAACTCCAGCTCCTGCTCTTGAGCTGCCTTTGTGTCCTGTTCAGGCCACTGGGAGGTGGCAGGCACATCAGACACCTGGGCTGTCTGTATCTCAGGCTCCAGATGAAAGGTGAACTTCTCTGAGTGTGTGAAGTTGGAAGCCTTGGTAGCACCAGCCCTGGCCCCAGCACCCCAGGCCTGCAGCAGCTCTCCCAGGTCTCCGGTTTGTGGGGGAGCCCCTAGTTGGCCCCAGGTCTGGCAGAGATGCTCAGCCAGGTGCTTCTGTAGCCATTGCCTCTGAGCCCATGTATCTTCCTGGGTGGGATGGCAGCTTGCCCGGTGGACCCAGTCCTCATCCCCAGGGTGGCTTCCCGCCCCTGTGCTGGCAAAGCTGGATGGCATGGCATTCGAGGAGTGAGGCCACCCTCCCAACAGGCTGGGGCACCTGGGTGGGGGCTGGTAGCACCAGAGGACTCGCCTGGAACTCCCAGGGCTCCCCGCTGGAACTCAACTCAGGCATGACCAGCCTGGTGGTGTGGAAAGGCTTCTGGGAGGCTGAACCCTGGACTTGATGTAGCTTGGGAGTGCGAAGGAGGGGTGGGACCCAGGGCAGAGCCAGCTGGTCCCGGATTTGCCCCCAATGGCCTGGAGAAGAATAGCTGAGTCACTAGCAGGCTGATCTGCATCCTCAGAGGCATCAGAGGCCAGACGCTCAGCCAAGAAGAAAAGCAGTTCCCGGAGATCAGGCTCACTGGGATAGAGGAAGTTCTGATAGCCAAGCTCCAAGGAATAGCCCAGGTCCTTGCAGGCCTGAGCCAGGCTCATGGCCAGGCGGAAGCGGTCGGACATGGCCAGAGGCAGCAGGGGGCTGAGGCAAGAGCCCATGGCAGGGTCGATTACACGCAGGCAGCGGACTACGGCTTCTACAGCCAACTCAGTAGTGAAGGCTCGCAGGGTCTGTACATCTGGAGGAACTGCTGTGCTGGCCTGGCGCAGGGAATGGATGAGGATTCGGTCTGCCTCCTCCATGCTGGAGTTTGGTTCAGGTCTGGAGCTGGGTTCAGGGCAGGGCTGAGAAAGAGGCGTACAGCTGTTGAAACCTGAAAAACATTTTTTAGGTGAGGATATATTTCCTAGAATATCTAAGATCTAGTGTCATTTTACCAAACTCAAACCACTTTGGCTAAAAGAGAGCACTGAGAATTCAAGGAACCAAATTATCCATATACAAATGCAAATTATCTCACTCAATAATCCTTTAATAGCCTATCGTAGAACAACTACAAAACAATGTTTAATTCTTTCATACCACATTTGCAAATGCAAACCCAAAGATGGAACCCAGAGCATAACTGTCCTGTAGTATAGAAATCATGTGGAAGACATTGCTGAGTAATCTAAAGATCTGGACTCCTCCAAGTGGCAAATACAGCTTCACTTTGGAATGAATGATAACTAGAATCCATTTAATTCACCCAAAATGTTTACTGAAGCATTGTCTGACACACTGAGAATACAGCTACAAAAATAAGCAATAGCAATGTTTTCTTCCTCGTGGGAAGATAATAGTAGTAAATAAAACAGACGGATGAGGAGTAGACCAGATTGTGATCAAAACCATGGAGAAACAGCAAAGAATGAGGATGGGAATGCAGAGTCAGCAGGGGTGGGTGAGGAGAGGGCAACTGCCATTTCATGTAGGGTTGTCAGGCTAGGCGTTACTGATTAAGCGACATGTGAGCAAAGAGCTAAAGGAACTGAGAAACAAAGCCAAATCATCATCTACGGGGAGAGCATCACTGGTGGGGCAACAGCACAATCAAACATCTCTTAACGTTATGCTTGGCATGTTCGAGAAACATCAAGAAGATTAGGATGACCAAAATGGAAGGAAAGGAGGGAGAGTTGAAGGGGGTGAGAGGAGTGAAGTAGCAGGGGAGCCACTGTATGAAGCTGGCTTTTACTCTGAGTGAGTTGGGGAACACCACAGCGGTCAGAGTGAAGAAAGGTGTGGTCTGAAAGGACAACTCTTCTTACTGTGTGAAGAATAGACTAGAGGTGAGGGTCATCTCTTAAGCAGGAAGACCAGTCAGATAGCCATTGCAAAAATCCAAGTGAAAGATGATGGTTTCAGGCAGGCGACCAGGGGGTATATAGTTAGAACTGGCTAGATTCAAATGTATATATTTTGATGACAAGGATTCACTGTAGATTGCATATGAATTGTGACAAAATAGAGGAGTCAAAAGATGATTCTGTCTTAAGGATGACGTTCCCATTTGCAGAAATAAAGACTGGGAGAGGAGCACCTTTGGAGAAGGGGAAATCACAAACTTTGATTTGAGGCATGTCAAGTATGAGGTGCCTATTAAACATCAAAATATATGCATTGGGTAGCCAGGAGGAAAGAAATGGTTACAGTTAAAGACAGAGTTCATGGCCAGAGATGTAACTGCACATTAGCAAAGGGATGGCACTAAGTGCTCTGAGACCAGAGAAGTCATTAAGGGAGTGGTGTAGAAATAGAAGAGAAAGTGCCAAGAAGAAAAGGAAGAACTCACCACGTTCAGGAAGAAGCCTCAAAGGAATTATGATTACAGTATAAACTGTGCAATCACAGCCTTCCTGTTTTAAGAATATAATTCTATTTGTTATTTCCAGTTCGTGTTTCCTGTGACTGACTATATGGATTGCCTTTTTATGTACACACTACTGATGCCAATGACTCCTGGCTGATTCAGTATAGAGCCATAAGCACCTACTAAGTGCAAAGCTTTTTCTTTTTCCACCAACGTGCAAAGTGCATTTTCTCTAGGACTTTTGGACAAGAATAAGATAGTGAATAAAGGAAAAGTTTCATGCTTATAGAATTTCTTTAATGGCCCAATCTTTGCACTAGCTTAGTATGCAGTAGTTTGTAGACGCACCTCAAACCTCAAAAAAGTGAAGCAAGAAGACCCAAATGATGGGATAGAAGGAAGGCATAGATGAGTTACCGAAGTGAAAAACCAAGATCCTGCCTCTCCATTTCTTCAGCAATATGCTTTGGCACACTGATTTTTCTCTAGACTCTGGAAATGCTAATTCAATAAATTTACTTTTATTCATTATTGTAATTATAAATTCATGACTGTAATTTTAAAGTCATCTTTTTTCTACCCTCTACTCCAGTGATATGTGAGTGCTATTGATTATAAATGTCAAATTAAATTTCTAGGCATATTTTCCTTCTGTTGGGATCAATACATAACTTGAAGAGCTCCTTTGATAGGACATTGAAAGTTATTTCTCACCCATGTGACATTTTGGCTCTTTTCCCCCTGAATATTTCAGTTAGATATTGGCAGCTTTCACTTTCTGGAGGTTTACAGGGAAATATGCTCTTGCTTTGGAAACCTGAATTTCCAAACTAAAAAAAATAAAAAGAGAGGTGTGAGACCATGAATTATATGCATATTAATTTAACTTTGAATAAGCCCAATACAAGAAAATCCAAATTTACAAAAGCTGATTAAGGTGTCCCAACTCTGTTAATTAGTTATTGATTTTTTACAAAAGTATTCTTCGTTTTTCAATTTTCAATAATTCAGTATAGGATTCCTTCAATAATTTAAAAATGCTTTGCTTATAGCTTTTTGATGTCTTTTTGATGAGTCATAGTTAAAGAAATCTAGAAAAGCTGATTTGCTTAAACCATTACTTTCATATTTTAACCACTTTTTCATTCATTCATTTACTCAATCATAAATTGTATCAACCATTATGGAAAACAGTATGTAGGTTCACAAAAAATTAAACATAGAACTACCAATGATTCAACAACCCAACTTCTGGATAAATACCCAAAGGAAAGGAAATCACTACCTTGAAGAGATATTTTCACTCCCATGTTTATTGTACCATTATTCACAATAGCCAGTATATGGAAACAACCTAAGTATCCATTGATAGATGAATAAAATCCAAACATTTGTGACAACCTAGATGAACCTGAAGGACATTATACAAAGTGAAGTAAACCAGACACTGAAAGACAAATATTGCATCTTACTTATATAGGTGGAATTAAACAAAGCTAAATTCACAGCAACACAGATTAGAGCAGTGGTTTTCTGTGGCTGGGGTGTGGAGGAAAAAGGAAGATTAAAAAAGAAAAAAGAAAGAAAAGATAGTAGTGGTTGCTAGGGGCTCAGAGTAGGAGGCATTATTAGGAGTTATTACTTGGTAGGTGCAGAGTTCAGTTCTGTAAAATGAAAAGAGATCTGGAGATGGATGGTGGTGATGACTGTACAACAGCATGAATGTACTTAATACCACTGAACGGTACACCTCAAAGTGGTTATGATAGTAAGTTATATGTTAAGTATATTTACCACAATAGAAAATAATAATTTATCCAGTAATTTGCCACAGTAAAAAAAATAATAATCTCCATAAGTATTATTGAACATCTAGACTTGAGTCAGCCAGGTTTGGGACTTGGGTCTATATGAGAGAGAACCCCCACCCCATCAGGAGTGGTAGGGTCAAAGAGACTGGAAACAGTATTGACTACTCTGGGTCTTTGCATGGTCAGCAGAATACTATCTAATGTAGATCTTTCATTCACTTCCTCTGCGAAATCCCTGATAAAGTCAACATTTCTTATTCAGATGTTTCAGTGAATTTCCTTGGGGAAAAAACAAAGAAGAGGTGACAAATTCTTTGTTCAAGGTTGGCATGGGCTAGAAACATAGGCAGACTGCACATAAACAGAAGAAAGAAGAGCACTGTCCAACTTAGTTGCCCTCTATTAAAACACCTCTCACGTGAGAAGGTAAATCGTTGTGACATGAACAGACATTTCTCCAATGAAGACATACAAAAGGCTAACAGACACATGAAAAAATGTTCATCATCATTAGCCATCAGGGACATTCAAATCAAAACCACATTGAGATACCACCTTACACCAGTTAGAATGGCCAAAATTAACAAGACAGTAAACAACATGTGTTGGAGAGGATGTGGAAATTCCAAATATATTCTGCTCCTGATGGGTAAGGTGTGCTATTTTACTTGCAGCTCCTGGTGACTGGCATGGTGTCTGGCCCTCATCCTTATCCAACAGATAATTAGTGAATACTCCTTAGACAGAATGATTGACTGTTGAATATTTCTGTATTTTCCACTCAAGAGGTAACAGGCATTTCCCCAGAGTTTCAGCTGGTGCTGACATGAGACAGAATTGTGAGGAGGGCACAAACTGACAAAAGCAGCAAATTCAGGCACTAAGGCTAAGGGACAGGTGGGTGTGTAGGGGGAGGGGGGATTTGGCTTCTCCCACTGGCAATGTTGTGGAACATGGTGTATGCTTACCCTCACTGAGGCTCCGCCAGAGATAAGCAGAAGCTTATCTGATGAACTAAGCTGATGAACTAAGATGATGAACTAAGCTAATGAACCAAGATGATGGCAGCTACTGAGGATGGTAACTGATACTTTTTGAAGGAAAAGAAGAAGAAGAAGAAGAAGAAGAAGAAGAAGAAGAAGAAGAAGAAGAAGAAGAAGAAGAAGAAGGAGGACAGAACTTTTATTATCATATGGCTCCTCATCTTCTCTTCCCATCCACCATAGACTTTTCCCTTCTCTCATTCCATAGCACTTTGGGCTTGCTCCAAATCATTCAGTGGACATGGGGAGTACATTTGAGCTCATGCTTGTCAAAAACTAATGTGGAGGAAAAAATGGATTCTAAAAAAGAGCACTGGCTTGTGTTCTCATCAAAAAACAGATACAAATGAAGTGTTTAGCATGCTTTTCTTGAAAATGGGACATGGCAGTTTTTAAAGACTTCGAATAATTTTAAACTAAATTCTCACAGCAGCCTCTTGAGGTAGAAAGAGGCAGGATAGTGTAACAAAAAGAAAACGGATCTGAAATCACAAGGGGCTCAAGAGTATGTCCTAACTGACCACATGCCAACTGTGGGGCCTTAGGCTCTACGTGTCCTGAATGCTTTTAAATCTCATTTTCATCATCCATAAAAT